CATAAACAATTACAATACATATTTTTGAAAGCATTCTTACTTTACAGCATTTTTTCATACCCGCCTAAACCTTTTGCACAGTACTGTATATCGTATTATTATATTCATACATAATTTAACAGAGCACTTCATTTCTGGCATTCAGGACATTGGTCTACTTGCTGCTCTAGCTAATAGAATGTCTTTTTGTGAGCACAAATTTTATGTGAAAAATCAAAAGATATTTGTCATTAATTGCATGTCCTTTGAAGCACCAAGTATGTATAAGTATTTTGAAATTCATGAAATATATTAATAATTTTAAAAAAATAATAAGCATTTGTGCATTTCCGTATGTTGATGTGAATTGTTACTCTGTCATTTGGATTATCTTTTCCTTGGCTGCATCAAAGGAAGAAGTGAACCTGCCCTGTCCTTTGCCATGGGTTTGGCTCGGATCATCTGTCACTGGGCTCCTTGCTACTTCATCTTAATTTTTTTCCCCATCGATTGTGCAGTCTTAATTTGCTTATTTTTATCTCTTCTCTTTTGACTTGTCATCTATAACTCAGATAAAAGCATTCTGGTAACTGCAGTGGAGACTGTGATCTTAAGGCCTGATGTAGGCATGCACAAAAATAGGATGATAGAATGGCCTGCATGTTAAAAACTAGTTTTTCAGTTTTATTTGCAGGGCTGCTCATAGGCAAAAATGTCATTCTCCTGCAGTTTGAAGCAGACATTATCATACATATAATTATTAAAAGTTGTACCATCTATTGTTGATTTAGTACTTTATTCAATATTTGCTAAATTCCCATTACGTTTCTCAAGAAGCAGTTGACTGATGCAGTGAACAGTCCCAGTTATAGTTAACTGGCATATTATAGTTCCCACTGGTTCCAAAAGACCTTACTTTAAATAAAGAGGATTAGATGGAAGCAAGCTATAAAAATGCCTTTGCTTGCCTTTTAAACAATGTTGAGCACTTGTGAAATTTCCCAGGGTAATAAAAAGCCTAATGTTCTATTAATTATTCAAAAAGAGTAAATGGGATGACTAAGATAGTGGTTAAGCTAAATCAAATACTGAATTGGAAAAGAATGTATGTCCTTGAAAACTAAGCCAGTAGTGTTTAGTGATACCTCCAGAATGTCATTTTGGTGTGATTCCAGATATAGTTTGGAAACAGTTTATCTACAGCTGCACATTAAGAATAAGGTTGTGAAATCAAGTAGAACAAAAGAATGTCATTATATTAAACAGTTAATTAACATATAAGATATGACCTAGTCTGTTACAGTATTCTCAGCTGGTACCTGAGCAGGTACATACTGTTTTCAGAAAAAGAACAACACAAGGCTGTTTGTGCTTAACAAGTAGAAATTTAAAAAGGTAATCTAGCATAGCTACTGCTCCATTTTGCTTCATGCCACCTTTGTATCTGCCCCCACATAAAATACATAAAACTTCATCCAATCTGGATTTTGGATTTTTTTTTATTAATCCACATGGCTCAGAACACCTTGAGAGAGATGTTAAGGATTTTTTTTCAGGAGGTTATAAAGATTTAGAGACTAGGGTTTCATTGCACCAGTTTAATGAAAGTCCTACTTGTCTATATGAAAAGAGAACACCTTTGAATAAATGTATTCCTAAAACAATATTTGCTAAAGGTAGTTTGACAATACAGTACAGTGAGGGCATGCTTAAACTCAAAAGTAATTTGATACCTCTGGGAAAATTCAGCTGCAGATTAGATAAGGAAGAGATTTGTTGACATCATCTACATCAATTTATTATTAAAGCTGCTCCATTTTTTAAATCTTAGATGGTAAACTGAATTGATTTAACTCTGGACATTCCAGCAGTTGATGTAATAGCTACATGTTAAATGCTGTTAATTTTCTGTTAATTGTCAGAAAATGAAGATAATTAGATTATTTCTGTGATAACTGTGCCTGTATATCTCACCTGGGCAAAATTTTCAGGTCATGGTTCTTACCTGACTTTGAATGGTATAAAGCAGGGTTCCTCAACCTTGGCAACTTTAAGACGGGTGGACTTCAACTCCCAGAATTCCCCAGCCAGCGAGGCATTAGCCTGTCTTAAAGTTACCAAGGTTGAGGTTGAGGAACCCTGGTATAAAGGATCTACATTCCCCAAACCCAATTTATTTTAATGGGATTTAGTTAAATCATATATATATATACATATGCACACACACACATGCATACACATACTGTTATATTAAATATAATTAATATATATGATTACTCTTTCTGTAACATTGAACATTAGAATTTGGTGGCAATTTTTAGACTCTGTAGGGTGCACCCAAGGCTTGGAGGGGCGCACAGGGCATTGGGGCCTCACGTTCACGTGCTCTAAACCTATGCATATTGACTTGGGAGTGAGTTCAAATGAAAACACGAGCTTATATTTTAGTAACTGTGGATAGGATTGTGCCACATTTAAGCCTTTACTCTGGCAAGGTGTGGTGCCCTTCCCTCAGTGATGCTTGAGAATATGTAGAAAAAAGAACCTTATTCAGAATGATTGTGTCATTGTGGGAATGGGAAAATAGAAACAACTAAGCACGTACTACTGGTTTGCCAATATTACGGCCATGTATGCAGCGCCTATAGTATGCCCTTGCTAGTAGATTTTCCAGGTTGCCCCAGGCATTTCTATCTGCCACTTCTACTGCCTGATAAGACTCTCACCAAAACATGCAACATGGCAACAGTTTGTGTGGCAGCATGTAAAATCAGGAAGATGCTGGTGCCTCTAACAAGTTAGCAAAATAGTTTCGTTCCTCAAGTTTTTGTTTCTTCATTTGCTTATGTGTTTGCTTCCTTCTGCCTTCAGCAGCTGCTTCTATATCTACTTGTTTTGTATATTTATGTTTACTTGTTTTATGTACTACTTTTAAAAATGTATATAAGAAACTTTTGTAAAATTACAAATTTTAACCATATTTTAATCTTATTCTGACTTAGGCCTGGATTGCCTATGATGAATCTTGTGTGTTTGTTTTCCCCACATGGTATCATTCCGTGCCTTTCATATTGTAGTTTTATACTTCTGTACCTTTTATAGTATATATTGTATTGCTTTGTGCTGGTCTTTGGCCATAGTAAGTTTTTGTTTGTCTGACTAATGCCCTGTCCCACTTACAGTTGACCATAATAGCACATGCCCATCTCATTCAAATGCAGTTTCTATTTGCACGTCCTTTGGCCCCTTCTCTAAGAGAAATTAGAAGTGGGAGAAATTGAGAGGAATCCATTCTTCTGGTCATCAATTAGCCTTTGTAGCTCCTGGTAAGGCAGATCACTGAATCCATTTTTGAAATGCTCATTGCTGTGAGAATAGGGACTTTTTTTTTTTTTTTTTAAGCACATGAGTTTTCCTATTTTCATTTGTATAATAGCAGTCAGAACAAGGGGGTACACTCCCCAAAATCCTGGAAATGGCTAATTACTTTAGTTCACTGTTTCTAACATTCTGAATATGTTATTTGCCAATTACACAATGTGCACGAAAGTTTGGACAAGATTCCCTTAAGGCAGAATGGCAAATACCAAGCCTCTCTTTATATCCTTACAATGCAACTGTATGTCAATCTCCATCCCTTCTGCAGGCAAGTGCTGCCTGCACCCATCCGACTGGCCCGTGCTCCTAAGGCACTGGGTCATCAAGGGTGATGCAGAGCTAAGCCAATTAACTCCTGATCCTAGGAAAACCAAACAGTTTGTAGCTGTTCCTCTGGAGTTTGGGGGTAGGTAGTTTCCTACTGGTGCCAAAGTGTCTGTGGGGTATGATCAAAAGAGTCACAGTGGCAGTCACGAGTCTGCCAGCATGATGTATTGCACATAAAAAAAACAGGTGGAGTTTTGATCACACTGTCATGGCTGCCATCGTGGCTTATTTTATCCACACCCTGTGGATGTCCTTGCAGTGGTAGGACTTCCTGCCTTGTCCTATCCTGAGATTTCTCCCTTCCCTCTTACTGTTGAGGTGCCATGGGGGTTTGGCACCCCCCAGTTGCATTGAAGGAGATGAAGGGGGGGGGTTGCCTTTGCAGCCGCACTAGGAAAACACCATTAGCTCAAAGCGAGAGGGACACGTACATAGGATACCTTGAGGGTATTCAGGAAAGGGTCTACAGCCACCCTGAGGGTATCTGGGAAACCCTGAGGGTCTCCAGGAAAAGGTCTACAGCTAAACTGGTTCAACCTGCCTTGTGTACCTTGAGGGCATCCAGGAAAGGGTCTATAGCCAAACTGGTTCAAACTGTGGTTTAAACTGCTTTGTCCCTGTAAACTATAAAAACTGAGCTTGTATTTCCGGTGGTGTGGCAAAACCCTGGCATATTTGCTGCCTATGCTCTGGGTTGCTGACCACCCAGCTCCTTTTACTCGGCCGAATAAAGAGCTGTTTCTTTCTAAGAGCCTCCTCTTGAATTCGCACCATTGTATTTCTCTGGGATTCAGGGTTGCAAACCTTACATTTTCTGGCACCCAACGTGGGGCACGAAGGCGTAATTCTTTCACGGTAACTCACTCCGGGCTCCCCACGAGCGAGCTCCGTTGCGGCTCGGCGACCTTCGGCGCGGCTTCCAGGAGAAACCGGCGCGGACCAGTGATGTTGTCAAAGAGCGCTCCTGGAGATTTTTTTTTCTCCCTCGAGTGACCTCACGCTGATCTGCGGCAGGCAGACCCTGCTGTAAGCCAGACCCGAACGTCCATTTCGGAGGCTCTCTTCTAGTACCGGGGACTTGAAGTTGGGAAAACCGTAAGTAGGAAAATCAGGATTCCGGAACGAGCGGTTTGGGACGTGCCGTGTGCGAGTTTGTGTGTGTGAGATGCAAAAAATTTTCATTAGGAATTTGTCCGCGAAGCAAGTGAGGAGTTCGCGGTTCCGTTGCCCCGTGAGGGGAACGGCCGGAGACAACCGAAGTGAAAGAGAGCAAGTGATAAGAGGCACGGAAAACCGGTAGGTTCTTCCAAGAAGGAGAGGGTGCCTGGCCATACCCCAAACCGAAGGAAAGGTCCGAGAAATCTCCTAGGAAGTCAGACCTGTGGATTCCGGTGTCCTGCCCCCCCTTGAACGATCCCTTAAGCGGCCAGCGTCGGCTGGTGGAAGGCGAGGGTTGATCCCACCATCTTTAAATTCTATGAGGCCAGCGATTGCTGGGAGGTGGCACAAGGAGGGAGGGAGGGGCCATTGAGACCGGGAATCCAGGGTCAAAAAGGAAAAGGTACCACAAGGAAAGGTATTAAAAGGAAAAGGTACCATAAGGAAAGGTATTAAAAGGAAAAGGTACCACAAGGAAAGGTTTAAAAAATGGGAAACCGAAAAAGTAGTTTGCCCCTGCCAAATGAAAAACAGTATGGGAAGTCAGAGCCGTGCACCCCACTACGCTGCGTGTTAGCCCATTGGAGCACGTTAAAACCTCTGGTAGCAGTAAAGATTACTTTTAAAAGGGAGAAGTTGAGGGTTCTCTGCGCTACCATATGGCCCACTTATTTTCTGGGTGACCAACAGCTCCCATGGCCACCTGAGGGCACTGTGAACCCTGAAATTATCCAAAATTTGTCAAAATTCTTGGCAAAGGGAGGCAAGATGGAAGAAGAACTTTATTCAGCATTCTTTTTCAATCTGGCTGCGTGGACAGATATTCAAAAATTATGTGGGCTAATAACCCCCTCCCAAAGGGTCTGTCCGCTGATTAAAAGTCAGAAAGTGAAGCTAGCACCAGTACCAGATGCTCCCCCACTGGTACCAGATGAACCACTATCGGTTCCTGACCTTGGGCGTCTAGGACCAAACCTGAAGCTTCTTAGCCCTTCCCACACCAGGACAGGCCAAGCCTATAGCCAAGAGGCACATCTGGGTCCTTCTGTCTTGGCTCCACTTCGGCAGGTCCCCATGGGGAACAGACTAGCTTATATCCACACCCCATTTACCACAGGGGACTTGTTTAACTGGAAGGAGAGCTTGCCTCCCTATCGAGAAGCTCCCCAGCAATATGTTGATCTAGTCCAACAGGTCATTTCGACCCACCGCCCAACGGTCCCGGATCTTTTTACCTTGGTTTCTGCCTTTTTGGGGGCTGAAGACTGGCAGCAAGTTTTAAAAGCTGCAATAGTCCATTATACCACTGCACAGACCCAGGGTCTCCAAGATGGCGGACATGATGCAGCATGGCCAGACCCGAATGTTGTTCTGGTTCCCACTTTTGAGGCAGACCCAAATACAGATCATGATCTCACTGCCCTTCGGCATTCCCAGGAGGCCATCCTTCACGGCCTCTGCACTGGAGTACCCAAGATAGTAAGCTTTCACCGGGTCCACCAGATTCTCCAGGAGCCGAAGGAATCTCCTACTGATTTTTTGAACCGCCTCAAGGATGGATTCCGACGATTTACTGACCTTGACCCCGACCTCCCTGCTAACGAGACCTTGTTAAAAATGACTTTTGTGGGACAAAGTGCCCCTGATATCCAGTGCAAACTCCAGAAGTTGGAGGCACCTGCCACCCAGAATTTTGAGACCCTCATCCAAACAGCTTTTATAGTGTTTGCCCAACGAGATGAGGAGGAAGAGAAGAAGGAAGATCGCAAGATGCGAAAACAAGCAGCCCTCCTGGCCATTGCTCTACAGCCCAAACCTAAAGGGAGGGGGCTACCCAAACATCCTGAGAAACCCCGCCCAAATCCTCTTCGGCGGGACCAGTGCACCCGGTGTAAAAGAACTGGCCACTGGAAAAATGAGTGCCCCCTTGGGGCCTGTAGGGGAAGAAATAGTGGCAGAAACTTTGGAGGTAGACCACCTCATGACTTTGGGATGGGGGAAGCACCCTGGCCAGGTCCCAGGCCCGAACCCCAACCCCTGATGTCGGCTCTAATGCTTGAGTTCTATCCTAGTGCCTACTGATGGGGCTCCGGAGGTTTCAGTAGCACCCCCAGCCCTCTGGTGGAGCTAGCAATTGGGGGAAGAACCTATTCCTTTTTAGTTGATACTGGGGCCATGTATAGTGTCCTCACGGATCCCACTATCCCCTATCTTTCTTCAGAAACGACTCCCATTGTTGAAGTCACAGGCCGGGAGGAGGCTGCTCCAAAGAGTCTTCCCCTCTCTGTTCAGCCTCCACAGGGACCTCCTATCTCACATTCATTTTTAGTATTGCCTCAGGGCCCTTTAAATCTGCTGGGACGGGATCTCCTTGGCAAACTGGGAGCAACTCTCAAGTGTTCACCCAAGGGAGTCACTCTTGATATCCCTCCTGGCCGAGCATATGTGTGCTTTTTGCAAGACCCTGAAGCATCCACAGATTTTAATCACCTCAATATTGATCCCAAAGTTTGGTATCAAGGCACACCACATCGGGCCCAACTTCTTCCCCAGGGGCAACCTGTGGCCATTCAACAGTATTCTATTAAACGAGAGGCCCGTGTAGGCATTAAGCCCCAAATAGACTTCTTTCTAAAGAATGGCCTCCTTCGCCAAGTCCAATCTCCCTGATCAACCCCAATTTTTCCGGTCCCAAAGCCTGATGGATCCTGGAGATTTGTTCATGACCTTAGAGAACTTAACACCAGGATCTAGCCTCTTCATCCCGTGGTGGCCAATCCATACACCCTTTTGACCACCCTGTCGAGTGACCAAATGTGGTACACCATTATTGACCTCAAAGACGCCTTCTTTTGCATTCCATTGGCCAGGGAAAGCCAACCCTATTTTGCCTTTGGGAAGATCCAGACAGTGGTCTAAAATGTCAACTTACTTGGACCTGACTTCCCCAGGGCTATCGCAATAGCCCAACAGCATTTGCCGCCGCCCTTGCTCAGGACTTGAGAGATTTTTCAACAAATGACACCACCCTCCTCCAGTATGTGGATGACCTAATTGCAGGAAGAGACGGAGGGAACTGAGGAGGTGTCTGTTGCCCTCCTCAACCATCTAGCAAGAACGGGATACACAGTACCCCAGAAAAAGATCCAATGGGTCAAACAAGAAGTCCAATATCTGGGGTATATTCTCAAGAAAGGCAAGAGACTCCTCCACACGAGTCGCCTGCAAGCCATTGCCTCTCTGAAGGCACCTGCCAATATAAAACAGTTGAGAACTTTTTTGGGAATTACCAGATATGCCCAGCTGTGGATCCCCATGTATTCCCTGCTGGCCAAACCTCTCTATCAGTTGACTCAGAAAGACATGGCCTGGGATTGGACTGGGGAACACCAGAAGGCCTGGGAAGGCCTTAAGTGAGCCCTAGCCGCTGCATCTGCCCTTGCCTTGCCTGATCAAAGCCGAGGGTTCGACCTTTTCCTGATAGAACAAAAGGGATATGCCCTTGGGGCCCTGCTTCAGAAATTGGGGCCTGAAAAGGTACCAGTGGCCTACCTTTCCAAAGGCTTGGACAATGTAGTTAAAGGCTGGCCCTCCTGCCTGCGAGCAGTTGCTGCCACCGCTGTACTGGTCCAAGAAGCCCAGAAAATCATTCTAGGTGCTCCATTAGCAGTGTACACCCCCCATGCAGTTCGAACCCTGTTTGAACAAAAGTTACCTGCCTGGGCCACCTCTAACCGTGTTTCGCACTATGCTAGCTTGATTGTGGAACAGGAAAACATTAAACACCACTGGTGCGAACGCCTCAACCCTGCTACTCTCTTGCCCCTGCCCCCTGAGCCAGGCTCTGACCCCCATGAATGCTTTAAAGTATTAGAGACAGTTGTTGGAATTTGCCCTGATCTGCAAGCTGAACCTCTAGCAAACCCTGGAGGACAGTTTTGGACTGATGGCTCATCATTCATGAAAGAGGGGAAGAGGTTCACAGGCTTTGCAGTAGTTACTGAAGATGGCCCATTATATTTCCAGAAATTGCCATCACATTATTCAGCCCAAGCTGCTGAGCTTCTAGCTCTGATTAAGGCTTGCCACTTGGCTAAAGGACAGTGAGTTAACATCTTTACTGACAGTCATTACGCCTTCCTCGCTGCGCACACTCATACAGCTTTATGGAAAGCCCGTGGCTTCTCAGGAGCAGATGGAAAGACTTTAAAAATGAAACCCCTGCTTGAAGAGCTCACAGCGGCTGTCCAGAAACCTACAGAATTAGCTATTATCCACTGTCGCAGCCATCAATCTGACCCAGGCAAAGTTACCCGAGGAAATAAGGCGGCAGACTTCTGGGCGAAACAGGCTGCCATTCTGGGTTGCCAGCCATCTCCAGATCACCTTCTTCCTCTCCTTCCAATTGACTTCACTGATGCCATGCCTCCCCTCTATGACCAACGAGACAAACTAGACCCAAAGGGACATTGGGACAATGGTTGGTGGGTAGTGGGGGAAAAGGTTCAGCTTCCCTGCCAGCTGTTTTGGAAGATTATTACTCGATCTCACCAGACTTCTCACATGGGGTCCTGACCCCTTCTCAAGTGGCTAAAAGAATGTTACCATGCCCCACACCTCAGGGGCTCCTGCCTCTCCGTAGTTCATCAGTGTGAGATTTGCCAGCAGAACAATCCCCGGGGAGGGAAGACAATTCCTCAAGGACACCTCCGTACGGCCCGTTACCCAGGGGAAGCCTGGCAAGTGGACTTCACAGAGGTGCCAAAGCATGGTGCTAAGTCTAACCTCTTTGTCTTAGTTGATCTCTATACTGGTTGGCCAGAGGCTATTCCCACTGCCACTCAAAAGGAGGTAGTACAGGCCCTAATAGAACTCATCATTCCCCGGTTCAGTGTTCCTAAAGGCCTGGAATCTGATAATGGCCGACATTTCACCTCTAAGGTCACTCAGGAGGTCAGCAAGTTCCTTGAAATCCCCTGGCACCTCCATTCTAGCTATCAGCCTCAGGCTTCTGCTAAGGTTGAACGTATGAACCGGACCCTTAAGGCACAAATTGCCAAATTGTGTCAGGAGATTAGTCTGCCCTGGCCTAAAAAACTCCCATTAGCCCTTACCCGTATTCGAGCCTTCCCTACGAGGAAGCTTGCCTTGTCCCCATTTGAAATGATGTATGGGCACCCCTTTGTGGCTAACAAGGTAAAGGATGTTGATGAGGGAAAGAAGAATGTAGCCAAGTATTTGCATAATCTGGCACAAGTTTTGTACTCTATTTCTAAACAGGCTCAGGCTGCTTTACCACCTGTCTCAGATGCCCCTCCTCTTGCCAATCCAGGGGAGTGGGTCCGAGTTAAAGAACTCTCACCTTCCTGTGACGATTCCAAATGGTCTGAACCCTGACAAGTCCTACTCGCCACTCCAACAGCAGTTAAAGTTGAGGGGATCAAGGCATGGATCCACGGTTCCAGGATCAAGAAAGTCGAGCCTCCTCCGACTCAGTGGCAAGTACAGTAGCTGAACGGCCTGAAACTGAAACTCCAGAAAGTTCCCGCCTCGCACAGCCGACCTGTTTTGACTCCTCCCGTCTGCTTAGGAAGGACCCTAAAATCTTTTGAATGGACTGGACCCTTCTGGAAGCAGTGGGATTCGATGTGTTCTAGTTGGAATTCTCTGACTGTGTTGTGGGTTCCCAAGTACAGTCTTTGGGAAAAGGGAAGGATGGGGTTGATTTGTATGTTGGAAAAACCACATGTCTTAATGCTTTCGATCCTCATGACGGGCCTATCTTTGGGACTGGGGGTTCCCTTGCGTAACAAAAGGGAGGCCAATTTAGGCCTATGGCAGGACAACAACTGGATCCAGAAGGTGAGGGTATATTTACAGCTGATGGAGAGTAACTTTTCTAATTGTTGGCTATGTCAACACATGCCTCCAAAGGCTTCAGATGGACTCCCCTTAGACGCGATTCCCTTGAGTGAATCTGAATGGAAAAATCCGACTCAAGGACCTAGGGGTGTGTTCATCTCCCAAAACCTGACCCAGATTACAGTTTTGACAGGGTCTAGGATTCAGCATAGAGCATCCTTCTGCTGGACATACCAGAACACAACTGCGAATGCAAATACTATTTTCTTAGGTAACTATTCTAATTGTGATCACCTAATTAATGTCAATAGCCTGTATAGATTCAATGCCCCTTCATTTTCATATGCCAATGTGACAGAGTATGAGTGCAACCACATCACTACCGGGAATCGCAGTATAGGGGGTCTGCCTTGTAACACCATTAAGGCCTTAGTCCAATCAGCAGCGGCTCCACCAGACCACGCCATGTACCATACCAATCTTGTAGGGGTTTTTTGGTTGCTATGTGGTAGGATGGCGTACAGAGCCATACCCCCTTACTGGGAAGGTACTTGTACACTGGGTCAATTGGCCCCTGCTTTAAGGACCTCTCCAGCCCTCTTACACCACTGCATCCAGAATAGAAGAGATCCCACTCCTGTTGCTACTAACAGCCATGACCATGAACAGCTCCTCCAAGGCCTCCCTCCGCTGGGGGTAGCATTGAACTTTAGGGATATTGTTAAATTAAGCAATCGGACAGAGTGGATGTTTAATAAAACTGTAGGGGGGTTGCAGAAATTAAATCAAGAGCAGGGAGAAATTAGGCAGGTGGTCCTGCAAAATAGAGAAGCTTTAGACATGCTTCTCACAGCTCAAGGAGGAGTTTGTGCTGTTGTACATTCTTATTGTTGTGTTTACATCCATAACAATCAAGTTGATCTTAACAAAACTGTAGAGGCCATGGAGAATGCCATAACTGAAAAGCATGCAGATGAGGCCCGCCGGTGGGATACATCATGGAACCCATTCTCATTCCTGGAGAGTTGGTTTCCCAACATCAGCTCTTTTTCTTGGTGCTATATTGCTGTTGGTCCTCTGTTGCTGTTCACCAATCCTTATGTTTTTAGGCCGACGCATGCTCACCTCTCTAGTTTCTCAAATGACTGTTGTTGCCGCCCCTGCCACTCCATCTGAAAAGCCCGCTAAGGTCATGGTTCTCCGAACTATCCCACAGGAATATAGCTCTCTGGTAACAAGGTAACAGAAAGCATTCTGTTACAAAACTAAAGGGAGGAATGAAGGGGGGGGGTTGCCTTTGCAGCCGCACTAGGAAAACACCATTAGCTCAAAGCGAGAGGGACAGGATACGCAGGATACCTTGAGGGTATTTAGGAAAGAGTCTCCAGCCACCCTGAGGGTATCCGGGAAACCCTGAGGGTCTCCAGGAAAAGGTCTACAGCTAAACTGGTTCAACCTGCCTTGTGTACCTTGAGGGCATCCAGGAAAGGGTCTATAGCCAAACCGGTTCAAACTGCGGTTCAGACTGCTTTGTCCCTGTAAACTCTAAAAACTGAGCTTGTATGTCCGGTGGTGTGGCAAAACCCTGGCATATTTGCTGCCTATGCTTTGGGTTGCTGACCTCCCAGCTTCCTTTTACTTGGCCGAATAAAGAGCTGTTTCTTTCTAAGAGCCTCCTCCTGAATCCGTGGCATTGGATTTCTCTGGGATTCAGGGTTGGAAACCTTACAGAGGGTTTTCCCACTCCCCCTGCACAGATTGCCCCCCCCCCAATTTACCCACCTCAAGGGAAAAAGGGCAGGGTGGTTCTTTCATGCCCCCTCCTCTGGCCAGTAGCATGTAATACTGGCGAGCTGCATGAGAGGAAGGTGAGCCATGGTGCACGACTACCGTAGAGGGCATGTGGATTGAGGCTGGTGGCTGTGTGGAAGTGCCCATACTCCAGTGTTGTCCAAACTTGGCCACTTTAAGAGGAGTGGACTTCACCTCCCAGAATTCCCCAGCCAGCATGGCTGGCTAGGGAATTCTGGGAGGTGAAGTCCACTCC